ACACACACACACACACACACACACACACACACACATAAATAAAAATTTAAAAAATACTAAAAAAAAAATAAAAAAAATAAATTCAGACAAAAGACATCATTTCTCATGAATGTACTACTTGTAGGTTAATATTAAATGTAAGTACCTTTTTATGTTCAAAGTGTCTTTATAAACATATTTCCAATCACTTTTTACCACATATAATGACCATCTATAAGGCAGGGATTATAAATACAGAAAAATGGACTGATAAAAATGTCCTCTAGCTTCATTCAAGTGGAGAAATGATAGCTAAATTGCCTTGTTATAGTCTATGTTGGGGTTGTTGTTAACACACTTAGCAGGATTTTTGTCTGAGATGGGTGTGTCTTCTATAATGGGAGGGGGTGATATTTCCCTGCAGAGGCAGAATTATAAGGGAAGAGTTTTTTTCCCCAAGAGGTGCTAGAGCTGTATCACAGAAACAGCAGTAATGCTCTGAGCTTTTCATTAGCAGAAATTAGTGGGAAACTAAAAAAAACATGCTAATCAAATTCTTTGGAGAATGTATTCCTAAAAGTTTCTATAAGCAGCTGATAGTGCTCACTTCGGCAGCACATATACTAAAAATTGGAACCATCAGAGAAGATTAGCATGGCCCCTGCACAAGTATGACACACAAATTTGTGAAGTGTTCCATATTTTTGTTCCATGTTATGCCTAAGATGTTTGATATTTAGACAGATAGGGTAAACTCAATTGCATATGTTGCAGGGTAATAATAAGTTTCTCTTCTGGAGGGTTAACAACCTAAGTTTGCAGATCAAAAATTGGAGAAAAGGAAGGGCTGCAAAGTCAGCCAACATTTTGGCCCTAGTCTTTCAAGGTCAGTGAAGACACAGGACATAGGAGAATCTGTACTGTAACATCATGCAACTCAGTTTTGCCCCAAATTTTCTGATCAAGAAGATTATGGAGCCACAGAGGAATGTGATCGATGATGTATAGTGTGCCTAAGGAGAGTCACATGGAGAGAAAACATTCTCTCAGGCTTTCACAGAAGGCAAATTGGTCAAGCAATGGCCGTGACTCATCCACATGGCTGACACTGACAAAGGATCTACAAAGTGTGGTGCAGGGTTACAGGATAAATCCTGAGGGTACTTGACTGACCTTATCAGATACAAAAGTTACATTTCTTTGTTATATAGGTCTTGCTTTATCTTGGTCTTAACCATCCAGCAGAAAAGTATAAAAACGAGGTATATAAAATAAAGCCGGGGGCCTGGCCCTAGCTCAGTCCTTTCAGTGGCTGCTTCCACAAAGCTGTCAGCCTCAGGTTCCTGGAGTTCGAACCTCACAACTCTCCCGCTGGCCAAAAAAAAGTGCCCTGAAGGCATTCGAGGAAGGAAAAAATAAAATAAAATAAAATAAAGCCATATTAATACAACGAGCTGTAAAAGGCTCAAGTCAATAACTTCTGAGGATAACCCACTACTATTATGGACTACTGGATTTACTGGATTATTTTGCTGAATTCACACACCTACAATATTTAAATGGCAATGGAATTCCCACCTCTGACAGGACTAAACAAAAAAAAAAGGGGATACAAAGGAAGGACCATTTTGTATTTGTATATACAGAATAGTTAGGATAGATATACAGCTACTTTCACTTAATTCAATGAGAAGAAAGATTTCTACTAATAGTGTTGGGACAGGATATCCTGTCTGCTTCTTGTACAGTGGAAAACCACTAAGAGGATAACAATGCACAATGTATTAATTATTGAAACTGTCCTATTAGTCAGCTTTGAAACTGTCTCATTGATATTTGTTTCTCAATAAAATAAAAAAAGAGCAACTGATAAAGGCTGGGGTACATGCCTCAAGTTAAATTTCTGCAGGAAAAGAGAGGTGTATTTTGTACTGAAAACAAGGTACAATCAAACTCTCCAGGAAAATAAGCCCAGAGTTTGAGGTTCCTTTTGCCTTCTTTGCAAGGATTCCTCCAGTGATTAGTGTGTGCATCCTACTAGAGTGTGCACCACACAGATGGCCTTCAGGATACTGGTCCCTAGTGAGACTATTACAACAAAATTGAAGGACATTTAAAAGATACTTACTTTCACTGACCTTGTCAGACCAAAAAGCTACAACTCTTGTTGCACAGGTCCTGCTTTACCTTGGTCTTAACCATCCAGTAGAAAAGTATGAAGATGAAATATAGGAAGTAAAGCCATGTTGTTATGTTGAGCTGTGGGGGACTCAGGTCAATAATTTCTGACATTGCCAGTTAAACAGAAGACCCAATGATATTATGGGCTTCTGTACTCTTTCAGAATATTTTGCTGAGTTTACACACCTATAATATTCAACAACGGAACTTAAAAAAAATTGGGGTATAACTATGAATGTCCATTTTGTATCTGTGTATTCAAAGTGGTTGGGATAGATATATAGCTGCATTCTCTTAATGAATAGAATGATTTTTTCTAATGGTGTTTGTAAGTAGGATCACAAGTCTGCATCTTGTACAGCAATTAACCACTAGGAAGAATGTATGCAGTGTATTATTTGTTGAAACTGTACTTTCGATTTGATTTGAAACTGTCTCATTGCTATATGTTTATCAATAAAACTTTGAAAAGAAAAAAAAATAAAAGATACTTACTACTGGTAGAGGACAGGTGGCTGTAGTCGGACCTGAAACACAAGACCTCAGTATTAGCAAGTCTGTATATCATTTTTCTTTATCCAAATGATTTATTTAAGCTAGAAGTTTAAAAGTCAGTGGTGAACAGTGTTTAACTGGTAAAGAAAATGCCATCAATTAAAAACCATAGTAAATGATAGTTTCTTGATAGCCCTTTCTTCTGGGGTGAGATGGAATCTCAGGGTTGCTTTGTTTTCCCAAATGACTAATGATGTTGAGCATTTTTTCATGTAATTATTTGCCATTTGTATTTCTTCATCTGAGAAGTGAATTCATCTCAGATGCCCATTTTTGGATTGGATCTTTGAATTGGGGGGGAGCCTGACTTTTTATTTATTTTTTAATGTTTAAAGAATACAGAATGGTAAAAAAAATTAGAAATGATATAAAATTTCATTAAACAAATCAATAGTAATTCAACAACGGTTGTTGTGTTGCATGTTATTTTCAGATTAGTTGTTTAGGTTACCAGATACAAACCTGCAAAATTTGTAAGAAAAAATGTTATAAGAAATTAAAAAGAACAAATAAATAAATTGTTAAAAGAATTAAGCATTAACTGCTTCTTTCAATAGGCCAGAAGAAATCAGCAGTACAATTATCCAAACTATTCTGCATATATACATGAATATATCCTTTGCCCTTCTTCTTTTGTCCTTTTCCTCATCCCAGTTTTTCCTTCCCATTGAACAGAAACTATCCCTTTCAGAGTTTCTCTTGCACCTTTCAGATTTTATATACTCTTTCAGGTCCTCACACTAGCAAGACAATGCAATGTTTGCACATATGGGTCTGATTTATTTCACTTACCAATTGCTGGAGGGGTCTAGGACAAAAGGAACCTTCTCCACTGTTGGTGGCTGCGTGCACTGGTACAACCACTGCAGAAGTCAATGTGGAGATTCCTCAAAAAACTAGGATTAGAGGTTTCATTCAAGCCAGCTATTCCCTTCCTCGCTATTTCTCCAGAAGAACTGAAAACATCATACCACAGCGATCTACGTGCACCCATGTTTATAGTAGCTCAATCTATAATAGCTAAATCTTAGGAGTACTCCTAAGTGAAACAAATCAGACCCACGTGTGTACACATCATGTTGTCCTCCTAGTGTAAGAACCTGAAAGAGTAAATAAAATTTGAAACATACAATAGATATGTGAAAGGGAAAGAAATTGCTCTAAAAGAAACAACAACTAGGATGAGATAAGGGAGAAAAGAAAGAAGGGGAATGTGTGTGTGTGTGTGTGTATTAGTTAAGATACTTCTAATTTCTATTGGTTTATTTATTTATTTTTATTTTATTTTTTATTCATTTTAATGAGAAAAAATAAAATAGCAATGAAACAGTTTCAAACAGGTGAGTAGGACAGTTACAATAATTGATACATTGCACATTTTTGTCTTTGTAGTAGTTATTCAGAGGACAAGAGGCAGACATGATATCTTTTCTAAGACAATATTAGTACAAACCTTTCTTAATGAATGAACTAAGAGAAAAGAGCTGTGTATCTATCCTAACTATCCTGTGTATACATTTTATATATTTTTTATTTTCCTTCCCCCTTTTTTTCACAACAAAACTGTCCTTTATTTACACTTTG